GACTTTTCTATTAGCAATGTAACTGTAATTTTAAAATCTCTTTGGACTAAAAATAACTGTCACTTTTTTTTAAATATGTGGCCTTATACTGCTGTGGGAATTGAGCCTATTATATTTATTGATTTAATTCATGTTGTGTATTATAGCTTATTTTTTTCTACTGAGCTTCTACAGTGTGGGTATGGTTTTTTTAGCCAGGTTTTAGCTAACGGGAGCCCATTTTTATTATATAGCTCCAATATTACATATGTGTCCTACAAAATGTACAAATATACATATAAAGAGAGAGAGAGTTTCAGTAACATGTAGGTGTATTCAGAGAGAGGAGAGATTACAACTAATAGTAATAATATATTAATAAAAAGAACAACAATGATGGTAATAATAGTACAGTTTACAGTTTCGTGTGTGTGAGAGAGTGAGAGTGTGTGTGTGTGTGTGTGTGTGTGTGTGTGTGTGTGTGTGTGTGTGTGTGTGTGTGTGTGTGTGTGTGTGTGTGTGTGTGTGTGTGTGTGTGTGTGTGTGTGTGTGTGTGTGTGTGTGTGTGTGTGTGTGTGTGTGTGTGTGTGTGTGTGTGTGTGTGTGTGTGTGTGTGTGTGTGTGTGTGTGTGTGTGTGTGTGTGTGTGTGTGTGTGTGTGTGTGTGTGTGTGTGTGTGTGTGTGTGTGTGTGTTATGTAGATACATGGTTGAAGCAGGTGTAACATTCTCCATATAAATATTCACAGCTGCACTTTATTTAGGGTTGTTTATTTAGCAGGATGAGAAGAGAGATTTGTTTAATAATCCTACCAGCAAGTGAAAGTACATCCACAATCCCATGCCCTGTCAAGCTTCTTAGAGCTGCACCTTTTCCTCAGGAAAGGGGAGATTTAGGTGTAATAAGAGCAGATAATCCAGCATGTCCCCTGGACTTACCGCTGCCTATATCCAGAGGCTCTGGATGGGATCACTGACAGTCCAGATAAGATAATCGTTGTAAAGATAACTTCAAACACTGATTCTCACTTCCGAAACACAACTAGCAATACGTACAATGACAGAATATTCTTCAACTCTCTTGCAAAACAGGACAGCCTGGTAGCCATGAGCAGCCATCAGCAGATTTCAATGCATTGGACTGATGTTAGAGAGGAAACTAATGAAGCAGGTCCTCAGATTAGTATCTGCTATATTCTGAGAAAAGTTGATTTTTTGCCACTAAATTTCCGCACTGGGAAGCCTTTTTGAAGTGTAAATGTTTTGGAAACGAATGAGTGAAAAGTTCTCAATAGAAAGCCAGGGAAAGAAAGGTTAATTTAAAATCTGATGCCAGACCTAAGAAAACCAATCAAGCTTAGCCATGTAAAAAAAAGGCAACTGGATTTGAGGCAACAGCCTACACTTTGCATAGCAAGGAAAAGTCACAGTAATATCGGCCAGAAAATCCCTTTGTATCAGTGCTTGAACAAAAGTGATGACATTTGCCAATAAAGCTCTATTATTCCTTTTTAGGCTAGGTGTAGGAGCTAGCACTTAGTTACTAACAGTAATGGATCTACTCTCTCTATAAGTAAATTTGGATCTCTGAGAGATCTGACAGTTCCACTTGTGTGCTTGTGTGAAAAATGCCACATTTAACCCTAAACAATGGGCTTTAATTCTCAATGATGTGTTTTCTTTTCACATACCATCTCTAGTTATAAAGTTTTAAAGCCTATTAGGGCCCAGCATGGTTCCTTCAAATGCTGGAAGTTTGGACTGCAAGCAGGAGCAGAGGTCTTGTAATGGATGTGGACTGAACGTTTGTACAATAGAAATAAATGTATTTACCCTGAAAATCATCATATCTGTCGTTGCTTATCTGACACAATAAAACAGTATTATACTTTGTATTGTTGAGAGAATTGTAAGCTGGATAGAAATACAACTGGCAGTGTTGAAGGAAATATCAATATAACATATTCTTATATGAAACCCATACCTTTGCTACTATTAAAGAAAAATTAAACATAATAATAACAATAAAATAATAAGATGCTAAGAAGCAGCACCTTGGACCTATGTGCTGAGTTGCAGGCACTAGGGTCTCATTATTCTAGCAGTGATCTGCTGGACTGGGTCAGAAGAAAGTGCTCAAACTTTTTTTTCCTGCCTCCAGAGAGCAATGTCTGTTTTTATAACCAGACCTGAGAGCGCCATCTACAGATAATCTTGATAAAACATCAGATAAGACAGCGCAGGTTGGTCACACTCTTCTTAACTCAAGCTGGCATTTAAACCACTTGCTAGCCACTTAAATCTATTTACTGGAGAGTGAACAAGGCCAGGAATGATATACAGTATATAAAGAGGAGGAGGAAAAACATATCAGATTTGCCTGCTCTCGCTATCCACAGGCCAGCCTGCAGAGAGGGGAGCCTGCATGTTCAGGGTGACTGCTCACAGGAGAGTTTAGTGTGGACAAGCAACATGCCCCAATGGCTCTGTATGAGCCTTCAAATGACTAATAAGTACTCTGTCTAAAAAGAGCTGGACATGTAATAATGTTTCATTAGAAAACGACTAGCTGATGGGAAAATAGAGACTTCTTTGCAGCAGGTGACTCTTCTGCTGGAACTGATACCCCTTCAAATGAGAGCAAACGACGATGTTAATGAAATAGCCAATATTTGGTTTTATTACATATGCCTGTCTACATGTGGACCTATACAGATCCATACACTGCTCCTACATTGTCAGCCCATAGGAAAGATTTATTTTGTTAGCTAATAAAAACACAATGACTTAATATTTCACATTTTAATGCCGTTTATGAAAAAAACCTATATATACATAAACTCACACCTATATATACTTAACACACACATACACACACACATATATATATATATATATATATATATATATATATATATATATACATATTTATTTATTTCAGGTACTTATATAGCGCCATCAATTTAGGCAGCGCTTTACATATATATTGTACATTCACATCAGTCCCTAACCCTCAAGGGGTGTACAATCTAAAGTCCCTAACTCACATTCATACATACACATATTAGGGCCAATTTAGACAGGAGCCAATTCATCTACCAGCATGTCTTTGGAGTGTGGGAGGAAACCGGTGTACCCGGAGGAAACCCACACAGGCAGAACATGGAAACTCCAGGTAGGTGGTGCCGTGGCTGGGATTCGAACCAGCAACCCTAGTACTGCCAGACGTGCTAACCACTAAGCCACTGTGCTGCCTAAATATATATATATATATATATATATATATACATACATATCATAAGTGGCATCAAAATGTGAAATATTAAGTTATTGTGTTTACATTAACACCTATATATACATATATATACACTATATATATGTGTATGTGTGTTTGCGTGTATGTATCTGTGTATATTTGATATATATATATATATATATATATATATATATATATTTATATAGACAACACAGGATAGAGAGAGAGAGAGAGAGAGAGAGAGAGAGAAAGACAGACAGACAGAAAGACAGAACAGACAGATAGATAGATAGATAGATAGATAGATAGATAGATGTAAATATATAATATATCCTACATTTTAATTGTAATCACTGTATATGTGTTGTTTAGGTTGTTAAAGGAGGATGGGATGCAATTTTAAGCATTTACAATAAATGTTATAGTAGGTATTTACAAAGATGCCTATGTTAGTGGCTAAAATTGAAGAGACCCATCTCCATTTCCATGGTTTTCCTGACAGTGGACCTTTATTGCTGATCACTTGGGGTATTGTAGTAACTTTGTAGCATGGAGCCATGCCCCCCCCCCCCCCCCAAACCTTACCCTGCCACTCTACCTGAAGGCAATAGGCAGGTTTTGCTATCTGTATTCCATTGATCCCAGGACACTAATGATAAATCGATGTCACTTCCACTTCGGGGAATTCATCATTTGGCTTTGCAATGCGTTTTCAGAGCCTTTTTTTTTTTTTAAAAAAATCTGATCTTATTTTTATATTGTCACCTGTACAGCAGCAGCATGGCAGAGAGATGAAGTTGTGTGTGGATGTGCTGTAGACAGGGAGTGAAGTGTTAAGCAATAGAAAGTCTATAATCAGTGCTAAACAAATAGCCTGGATGGTAGGTGAATCTCCATTTGTCACACCGTGGCTGTACTTTTATCTAAGGCTTATGTGATGATGGTGTGTGTGTGTGTGTGTGAGTGCCATCCTCCCCTCACCCCACCACAGTGACAGGGTGATGCCAGGGACCTCCTCACTACAGCTCCAGTATTTTTTTGCGTTGGCGAATCACCGAGTGCTGGAATCTATTCCCTTTGTCTGACAAGTCATCCATCTCCCAGCTAAAGGGGGAGGGCAGTGTGTGTGTGTGTGTGGTGTGTGTGTGTGTGTATGTGTGTGTGTGTGTGTGTGGTGTGTGTGTGGGGAGGAAGGGGGGGAGATCTGAGGGGCTTTGCAGCTTTTAGAGAGACACACACAGGGAGAGGAGGCTCCATTCTCCAGCCAAACCTCCTAGCACACACATCCCATCTTAAAGTGACAACTTCAGCCAGTGTCTCCATTTTCCAGAGATCGCTCTATCTATCCCAGAAATCGTACACACTCACACCCTCCTGGATATTTTTTTTCTTGTTTAACTTTGCTTTGAAGTCAGAAAACTCCAGCCAAAGACTTGGAGGGGAACAAACTCTTACATGACTGCGCCCGGCTTCCATCACTCGCTGCTCACAAGTGTCTCCTGTGGTCCAGCAGCCATGAGAAGAGCTCCTCGCTGGCCCAAGATCTCCTCTTCTTCCCAGGAAATCTGAAGGACTCTACCCCAGCCAGAGCCTCCGCTGTCACCAGATCTGCCTCCCTGCCCCATTCTGCAGCCTTCAACCGAGGGGCAGTGGGGACCCCTCATCGAGCCTGGAAACAAGTCTACCCTATTTTCTTCAAGTCTTGAAGTTCAGTCCAGAGGCGAAACGGCGACTACAGCCGAATTCCTCCCTTTCATTTGCCTCCCCATGGATATGCATTGCAAGGCTGATCCCTTCTCGGCTATGCACCGTGAGTACTCTCCATTCCATCACAGCCTAAATCCTGCTCTCAGGGTCCAAATCCCACTGCCTGGAGCCCAGCTCAGCCCCACTGGCAGCAGCTCCTCTCCATCTAACACACTATTTACTAACACAATCCTTCTTACCTTTCCGAAATAGGCTGACCGATGCTTTGTAATGACTTGCATTTATTAATACAGCATCGGCATTTCCCGAATAATATTCCTATTGTAATAATAATGATAATATTCAAAAAGCTGGAATAAAATGCCCTCTGAATAATGGGGAGCCTAAACATGCCTGAAATTAAATTACATGCGAAGGGGAAAATATTTTTTTAAAGAAAAATGATGGAAAAAGGCTTATTAACCGGCACTTAATATTTTTATAATAGGAAGCATTACAGGAAATAAAAACTGATATAAATAGTAGGATGTTAATGTTCACTTCACTAAATAAGCAAAAGGCACGTGGAGGTATCAATAATAGCAGAGATAATCTATATCAGGGATAATCTAAAGATTAAATAGAATTAATATCTCTGAGATGCATGTACAAGAACAGTCAGTCCCATTCAAAACTGAACTTAAATCAATGAATATACATATATATATATATATATATATATATATATATATATATATATATATATATATATATATATATATAAAATGGATAAAGAGATACATTGTGAACTGATCAATTTTGCAGCTACACCTGTGGTGTCGTTTATACTAAATAAAACAAATAACACAAAAAAATGCTGCACTTAATAAAATGCTACAGAAAACATGCTAGTATAATAAATACCACACTTAAAATGCTACAAGCAATTTAATTTAAAAAAAAAATGTGTGTATGTATATATATATATATATATATATATATATACACACACACACATATATATACACACACACACACACACACACATATATATATATATATATACACACACATATGTATATATATAATTTTTTTTTTTTCGTTTGCATCTGTTGTCTTTTAATAATATGTAATAGGAGTTATCAGAGGTATGCTGAATAATTTATCACAGAGGTGCTGAGAAAATTGCAGCTTGGTAACTGTATAGCTAACGTGTTCACAAGCTGCCGGGCACCATTGATGGGGATACGTGGGCAGCCCAGGCCACGACAATGTGACACTGTAGGTGCCAGGTCTAGGAGGAGGGCAGGAAGGGGTGCCACTGGCCAGGAAGGACCTTCTTCGGGGAAAACTGTATTTGTGCACGGTGCTGGATCGATTTAAGGGCAATGAGAGTTTCCTCAAGTTCACAGTCTATAAGTCACTGTCAGCAGCACGGGGGATAAACTCACCAATATAAATACATCATTTTTCAGAAAAGTGGAAAGCCTGCTGAATTCCAATTTAATAGAGCATTAACACTCTTTATACAGAAACACCTGCCTTCCCTGTACGTATAGATAGATAAGTGTTCTCTAGAAAGGTTTACCTGAATTTAGGTTAGGCTTACCTAAGAAATAAAAATGTAGATAGATAGGTAGAAAGATATAGTAACACCCTGTACATGTAGATAGATAAGTGTTTTCCAAAATAAAAAAAAAGGTTTACCTAAAAAAATTAAATATATATATATATATATATATATATATATATATATATATATATATATATATATATATATATATATATAATTTGTGCAGTGCTTTATATTTTAAATATATATACAATATGAAATAAATGCATGAATCTAAAACTGCACTCTCCCTCTCTCTTTCTCTCTCTTTCTCTCTCTTTCGCTCTCTCTCTCTCTCTATAGTTCTATTTTCTGTTTTTTACATGCACCTCAGTGTGCCACACCAAATCCCCAACTGCTTTATAGACCTTTCCCTTATGACATCGGGTTTTCTACTCTATATATACTTTTCTTTTAGCACAGCCTTCCAAGCAATTGTATGATTAAATGAAGTGGGCAGAGCGCATGCCTGGCGCTAATGCTGACTGTCACCCGGCTGGTCACGTGTTGTTGTGTGATCTCTCCTTGATCGGAGTGAAATTGTTAGTCTACAATAATCATGATTGCATTGTGAGGAGCCCTGATTATTCTGCCTGGATTGGGGTCACAGTTGGTCAGTGACTGGAGTCAGCATATGTGTTGTGTGGATCTCATTACATTGCACTGACCTAGCATGGAGCCCATTCTAGGTGTAGCCTTAGAGGTGACCCATTCTAATCTAGGCAGATATCATATTGAGACAATCACCTGTAAGGATGACCAGACTGGACCAGAACTGTACAAACTTGGGGTTGAAGAGCTCTTCCAGCAGTTATAGGTTCTTCCAGCAACAAAAGGTGCTCTATTTCTGCAGATCACCTTCATATGTTGTAATTGACAGGGATATAGTCACTTCTGAAAACAACCGATCGTACATGATTAGACATCAGTTATGTATGTCATCGAATCAATCTGTTTTATGGTTATCATTTGCTTTAGTGATCTCATCCCCCTACTATTTGTTGTCTAATGATTTGTTATGTGCTCTTTCTCTCTCTCTCTCTCTTTGTGTCTCTGTTTTTCATTCTCTCTTCCCCAGCAGGGCATGGGGGTGTCAACCAGCTCGGGGGGGGTATTTGTCAATGGCAGACCTCTACCTGATGTGGTGAGGCAGAGGATAGTAGAGCTGGCCCACCAGGGTGTCAGACCCTGTGACATCTCCAGGCAGCTGAGGGTCAGCCACGGCTGTGTCAGCAAGATCCTGGGCAGGTAAGGACCTCTATATAATCCAATAATCAAAAATCTAAAACACACACACACATACACACACACACATATATATATATATAAATAATATATCAAGTATTCTGTACAATACTCCCCCCAGCCTAATTTTCGGGGCTGTATTTGTGTGTGATGAGCCAAGCCAAGGTTAGATGGCACTTATATAGTGGTTGAATCCACGTCCCTCAGGAGAGTATGCATTATATGGGTGACAGAGGTGACAGCAGAGGATGTTAGCCGTCATCAGCTAACGCCTAATGAATGCGCACCTTATTAATAATCTGATGGAAGAACAATTTCTGATTTTACATATGTCCTTTGCAGCTCTTCCAATTTGCTACACAGTACTGATTAAAATGACATTACAAGGCTTTAATAGCGCCTGTGTATCGATTTGTAATTCAGCTCGCAAACACATAAGTAATTATAAAACCTAAGTGACTATTAGTATCATTATTATATTTACATCAAATTGGTAACAGAGAGATCCCCATGCACACCGATTTCCGATGCCAACATTGAAATAAACTCCAGAAAACGTCCAATAAACCTGGAGGGAGCTGTCACATTTTCTTACACAAAATTGCACATACATTCCTGTATTCTGATTTTCTCTGTGGAGACATGAGCTGATTGCAAGTGATAACGCCTGTTTATTGATGCCATTATATATATGTGGGTCGGATAATGGACGGATGTGCAGTTCATATACATTTGGATCTATATGGTTTTTTTTTAAATCTGTAAATTATATTAGGGTCGGGTAATGGACGCATTTGCAGTTGATGTAGTTGATATACATTTGGATCTATATATTATATATATATAACTTTTATATATATATGTGTGTGTGCAAATGTATTCTAAAATATATACATGAATGTTAAGTATATAGGTTGCTTGAGCGTTCATTGCACTATATTATAGGAACGAATGCATGTGTGTATGAGCCAAGAGTGCTAGCTCCGAGGCTTACTGACCTGGCTCTGTCCTTTTTGTACAGGTACTATGAAACGGGCAGCATTAAACCGGGAGTAATTGGGGGATCAAAACCTAAAGTAGCCACCCCAAAAGTGGTAGATAAAATCGCAGAGTACAAAAGACAAAACCCCACTATGTTTGCGTGGGAGATCCGGGACAGACTGCTGGCAGAAGGGATCTGTGACAATGACACTGTGCCCAGCGTGTCTTCTATAAACAGGTAGGAGCTGACTTCTGTACCTTGCTGACCATTGTCATCACAGCCGCTGTCACCAATTGTCCTCTGCATGTCACCAACTCAACTCCAAATCACAACTTGTAACCTGGCAAACTGCATGGTAGAATCATGTTGTCATCGTCTGCTGATTTCAGGGATTACTAAATCAGGTTTAATACTTTGTGAAAACTGTTTCTTTTGTCTGTTTACACTATTGATGGGAAATGTCACTTTTGCTGTCTTCTTTTTGTTTATGAGTATTACAGCTAATGTCTTCAGTCATTTTAGTGTTCTCAGTAATTAAGAATTTAACAGCTCCCGAATTTACAGACAATCACAAAAGCCTAGCTAGTGAACCATTAAAATACCAGAGTTTATTTATCTTAACCAAACAAAATGGAAATACTCAGTACACGTGTGGAATGAGATAGAGCATGTAACCAAAACTTTTTGTTTTAAGTGGTTTGCTGGTGATGTTTGCACTTTACAGAGCTTCCAGGAATCAATGGTATTACAGGATTACACCTGTATACAGCTCATCGCAGTTCCATTAACCATTGTTTGTCTTACAATGCATAAGACTGGATTTTTTTTTTAGAAACTTTAGTGGGAGGGGCAGCTAAAGAATCCTGAAATCCCCCTTAGAGCAAGAACGCAAAACAAAACATTTTTTTTTGCAATTCTAGCTAGGAAAAATTCTATATTTTTAAGTTGCTGTAATGAACTGTGTGTGCTATGTTTCCTATATATCGAACATTTCAGTATCCTAACAATAATCTACTTCCTCTAACAATAATCTACTTGTTGTATATCTAGTATAAATATTTTAGTGGGATATTTAAAATATATCCATGAAGAAATTCTGCACTAGCCCCAAAAATTTTAGAATTTAGCAAAATTCATAGATTAAAATATTTATGTGTATGTTTTTCCTAATAATACTATACATATCCTCATCCACATGCATACATGTGGCACTTCCATCTCATGACATAGGCACTGCACGAAAAAAAGTCTTATTCTTCTATCCTTTCATAAGATTGGTGACATGTTATTATTTATTCAGGATAAATAAGGAAACAGCACAGTTATAATTACAAAATGCCATGCAGAAAGCCAGCAGAAAATACAATTTAGATATTATCTGTTGCAATTGCTCTGGCATCCTACGTAAATGTTTTTAATATTTCACAAATGACATGGAATTATCCCAAGTCATCTTGCAAGCAGCAGGTAAAATTAACTGCTGGAATGTACCTTGGCTCACAGAGAGTCCCTGAGACACACATGCGCTGTTATATACTGCTGGGCGACTTGACGAAATTATTCCTGTGTGTACCATCTGTATTAAAATGGATATTAAGATATGAATAGGGTAACATAATACTGATTGACTAATTATACACCTTCCTATAAACTTCCCATATTCATTTTTTCCCTCTTGTTTCAGTTAGGTATAGAAGGGAGATGGAATATATTGGCATTCATATATGCCATGAGGCAAGGAAGCATACACACACATGAAATTGATTCTCACAGTATAGAAATCATGTTGGTTTACACCAAAATATATTTTCTCTGCTAGGGGAAAGCTTATGACTTCATTACATAGCAAGCCGGGGCTTTAAAAGCACAACAGTAGCATGTTTTAGAAATGTAACAATTAAGAATGCAGTTGTTATATTAATGTTAATAAAGGAAGCTTTCTGTAGATAACAGTGCTAGTCAATCAGCTCCCTTTTAATCCCTGATTTTTATTTCTGATTTAAAAGAGCTTCACCAAACATATCACTCTAGACTGAATATGTCAACTGGTGGTGGTTTTTTAAAAGGAGTGAGAGAGGGCCATACACATCTCACTCTATTTCATTGCAACCCTCAGCCAGTTTAAGAATTTTAACTGAATAGGGCCCAGGACTGCTTTATAGCTCAAAACATTGTACTTCCCTATATAATGAATACTGAAAAAGTATCTCCTGGCACTTTTATGGTATCATGCTGTAATAAATATTGCAGTTATTAATATTAATGTAGGTGCTTCAGTATTTTTTGGAATTAGGTGTGGTCCTTGGTTGGTCTGCTGTGGTTCCTGGTAGAATCATTCCAATCAATTCAGCCCCCTGTTCAATTTGAGTTTGACATGGCTGTTTTAGATCATGAGAAATATGAACCTGCGAAACATAATAAAATATCAGTAGCATTTCAACCTTTTACTGTATAGTAGCTTTCATGTATTTTTATCTATTGTTAAAGGGTTGATTTTGTAGACTTTGAGCGGTCCAGAAAAACAATGTTTGCTTCAAATGGATTGGATGTTTAAGACAAACACAATCAGCTTTATTTCTAATAGGATCTGGCAAAGGGGCATTGTTGGAGTCATAAGAAAACTTTTCTCCGTTACTTTAGCTCATTAACTAAACATTAGGTAGCAAAAATAATTGTAATCCTAAATCCCTTCCAGACAATGAGGCCTACTTTCTAAAGTAGTTGAAAACATAACTGGCACCCTAAGAATTGTAAACTGGCACAGTAAAGCGTTTTTAACTTCTGACTTTAAGTCAACATTGAACTGAAAGTCAGCAAACAAATAATAACTACATAGTATGAAATCATACATAAAAGACTGTATTTAGAGAACACACAGGAGTTTGTATAAGAGATATTAGGAAAAATAACGCTAAAAACATTTTGGGCCTAATTTGTGCGAAAACAATTTTAAAAGATTTAATATTAACCTTGATTCTGCTTTTGTTGCTTGTTACTTACACAAAAAAAGTATTTAGTAGACCTACAAATTGGTGAAGTTTTTTTAAATGAAATTATGGACTTTTTAATATTGTAATTTTTATTTAACTTTTCTTTGTAAGGATAAAATGTTTAATTTTTTAGATTTCAAAACTTTACTTGAGTTGAGATGTGACATAGTATAACAGGAAAACACTCTGAAAATAATTCCTTAAATTAATGATTTTTTTTTTTTTTTTTTTTACTACATATCTTTCTGCTTGTATTCTATAAAACAGGCACCTACATTAGCAGTATTTTAGCTTTCCATTTCAAAATTCATTTTATGACTAAAAGTGAATTATATAAAATATACATTAGTGTCAGTTATGACCAAAAAAATCAATACTTAATGATAAATGTATTGCCATCACAAAGATTAATTACTGTATTCTGTGTGTTGGAAATTGATTTTTACAGTCCTTATATGCATTTTAATTTTTACAAAACAGTGTTTCAAAGAATGTGTGCTGCCCAATAGATACAGTTTAGACTATGACTTAAAAGAGATTTCTGTATGGCTTTCTTGAGCTGGAATGCAGAGGATTTGTGAGGAAAATTTTTTTTTGAAGATTTCTCTTGCTTTAAGCATATGTTATATTTGGTGAAAAATGCATTACACTTTTAATTTTGTTTAATAATTAATTTACATGGGGTACATTATTTTTTGTCAGTGGAAAGGATTGTTATTGTGGACTCAGTATTTACATGTTTTTAATTTATTTTTAATCTAGGGATAGCCATATCAATGACTGTTAGAACTGTTGTAGCAACTGAATACTCCTTGCAGAAAAAATAATTAATTGTTGGTCCATCAATGTAATCACTCTGATTTGGAATGTACCCCTGAGCTAAACATTACAGGGGTATTTACATTATTATTATTTAAAAGAAATGTATGCATTCATAGACTGGTCTTGATAATAAACCATACAGAGTTTCTTTATCAATGTTCATTTTACTGTTCATATTAATTAAGAATCTCTAATTCTTTAATAGGTTGTTTTGGCTCTATGAAAAGCTATGGTGTATCTGAATATTGCACAGAGTTGCCATACTTTCTGTAAGAGAAAGCAAGGATATTCATGCTCATTCAGCTAAAACCACCTTTGCGTTCCTTAGGGTGCCAAGAGCAGGAGTCTTTCCTTATATGACAGCTTACTATATCTGTTGATCTACATGCATGAGAAGAAAGAATGCTGAGAATAGGTTCATTACAGTTTTCCAAAAAGCAGGGCCTGGCTGTTTTGGCAAAGCAGTGACACATGGGGACATTGCTGGGGTATATGGTAAATCTTAATCCAGGCTTGTTTCTCTGTGAAATTTTAGCAACTATTACTATTTGGTGTTACTGCTTAACATTTATTGGTCATTTGAAAGCTGTATTCTACTATATGGTATTATGGAGTACATGGCTGCCTTTCACAGAGGAGAGATAGTATTGGAAAGCTGAAGTGCTTTTTCTGGCTGTGGTATCACCCTACATTTTGCCTTTGCAATGTTATAGAAATTCGTTGAGTTGGTCAGATGCATCCTTCTGTAGAATAATTTTGTAATTTTATTTTGAAATGAAGTGGCAAGAGAAAGTTTGTTTTATGGTGGCTTGCCAGGGATAGCCACATTCAATGCCATTTCCTTTTCATAATGCAAAAGTGACCAGGGATAAATACCCTCCTGTACTTTTGTGTATCACTGCTTTATATGATATTATATATTCTGTATAATAGATGGAGCGGCTTCCTTGCTTCTAATAACTTTACATAATACACATACTGATACAGAATACCCAAACATCTGTGAGCTTCCCCTTTGTGTATAGTATATCAATGCACACATGTCAAAGCCTATAGATTGGAAGATTGATAAGATTATCACTGTAAATATAAAATGCTATAAATCCATAAAGTGCTTGGTAACCTCTCAATTCTGTTCACTTTCACATAGGGCAAATACATTTGTTAATGTCCACTCAGGGAGGTATGGTTCATTGAGGGTGGTCTGCACTGAAATGGTAGCTACAACAATCATCCCACAGAGAGGCAGATTTAGATCAGGGACCAACACAGGCTCCTCTGTCTGTATGAAAACCAATCAATAACCTGGTAACCAGATCCACTCACTCTGGGAAATAGACATCAAAATAGTTCAATACTGGAATCATACAATGACATTGCGGATGGGTGGGGAATAGATTCCAATGAAAATGTGGAAATCACATA